TTCGGCTATGAAGGAGGTTCGCCCGGGAGGAGGTGCATGCAGTGAAAAGACCCAGGTTCCCACAGCTACACACGCAGCTACCGAGGGCCTGCCAGGCGCTGCCAGCAGGCCAGCACCCCACGCTCCTTCTATGGGTGCAGTGCCAAAGATCTGCGGCAGGAGTCTGTGTATTTTGGACTCTATAAGAAGTTTTTAATAGAATATTTTAACTCGAACAATTTTTGTTTTAAAAAAATGTTATTTAAAACATGGTTTTAAATGTCTAAGACTCAAGACTTTTTCTTCAGGCTCTCATTCATATGTAAAGCAACGTGTTATGGGAAAAAAGGGCACTAAAGAGAGTAACTTTCAGGAGAACACTCAGTCTGGTATCAGTATAAAATCAAGTTCATAATCAAACAAAATGGCAAAATTAGCATCCTAGACTAAGTCTAGCACTATAATAATAACAACAACAACAACAACCATAAGTTAGCCAGCTGGGTACTGGAAATATTGAAAGGAACATTTTGTAAAATATATAATTGTCTAACCACTAATCTGTACACCTGAAACTAATACAAAATAATACTGAATGTAAACTGTAATTGAAAAATAAAATTTAAGGTCCTTTTCAAAAAATGAAAAATAACCGTAACTTAAATCTATTGGAACAGTGAACAATCCCATTAGCTTCCTGTCTAAATTCCCAAGAAATGATCTCCAAAAATTAAATAGCGGAGCACAGATCACTACTGAGCTAGTACCTCTCAGAAGCAGTCATTACTGCAAAGCAATTCCACAGGGCAGGAGAAATTCTAAAGATGGAAAATTGTGCAAAGAGCTGCGGTATACCAACCTGAAAATAAGCAAAGAAAACAGACCAAATGCTACAGAAATTCCACACTAAAAATCAAGTTCAAATCCTGCGGCCTAACCATGGAATGCTGGGAAACAGTAACGGGTGACAGGTTACCCTGGGACACAGCCATCAGCCTCATACAGGCGTATTTACCTAGCTATCTCGGAAAAATGACAGCACTGAAAACATTAATATTCACAAGTATCAAATGTTATTAAAAAGTTCCCTGATCACTGTGGCTCAGGTGGTCGGGTACCTTCCCACAAGGCAAAGGGTCGCCAGTTCAATTCCCACTCAAGGTGCATACAAGAGGCAACTAACTGATGTTTCTCTCCCTCTCTCCCTGCCTCCTCCTCCCTCTAAAAATTAAAAAAAAACAACAACAACAAAGAAAGTTCCACTAACAGTACTCCTTTCAACCATATCAAGCAGAAAAAAACTCTGTGGTACTGCTTTATAATAGAGAGAGAGAGAGAGAGAGAGAGAGAGAAAACGCGCGCGCGTGTGTCTGTCTGTCTCTCAAGCGCGCGTGCTTGGTCTTCTTCAACCACATAGTCTTTTCAAGGAATCCAGCTGGGTCACAAATTTAAATGTTCCTCTTTTTAAAGAGCAACTGATTCAACATAAAAGAACTGAGATGGCTTTACGAGGTGCTGCCCTACTCTAGGGACATCATTATCTATCCAGTGAAAGGCAGGCTACGATCAGCACTGACATGACCTCCCAGAAAAACACCTGGCACCAAAGTGCAAACGTTGCAAGTCAACTGTACATTTAAATTCACACCTCTGCCTTCACCATCCCAGCTCCCAACCCATGGTCAGGTTTTGGCAATGCTATCCTCAACGTCCTCTCACCACGTAAGACATTATGACTGATGTGAAACTTAAACCCAACAATCACGTACAAGATCCTTGCTCAATACTCTTGAGGCTTCTAGGTTTACTTCTGCCTTCTCAACAACTCACTCTCCCTCATCGCCATTTTACGAGCTACAAAGCCAGCCTGAGGTTGAGCATTTTCCCCCCCAATTTCACATTTCTCCCATTTGATACTTAGTATAAGTTTTATAATAAGTATATTTTATACTTAGTGTACATACATCATAGAATTTTTTCGAGTATATGTGCTGCCAAGGGGACTGCTGAAATGACTTTTTTAAGTGTATAACATCAGCAAGCCATAATATAACATATCTAATGAAATCTGGACAACATAAGGCAGGCAGGAGATGTAAAGATTAATTTTCAGCAAATGTGGACTTCTGTTAATTAACCAAACAAAACATAAAGAAGAAAAAAATATCTGTTAGCGTATTCCAGAGATCAAGACATGACTACCTAATACAGACAGGACCATAATTTTTTCTTACAACAGTTCAGAAACCTATTTACTGATCACAGTGTAGTGAACAGTAAAAAATATTTGCTGACAGAAGATAGAATCCACATTACCAAAAATCAAATACAACCAATCCTTGGCCCTATGACCTAGAAACTCTGGAGTGGGTGGGGATAGGAACTTAATGACAAAGAAACTGCTTTGTAAATAAAACAAGACCAAATCCAATATTGGACCTGCTAGTAGGTGTTTTTGTGTTTCACCTTTAAAATATACTCACAGCTCTTAGAATTTTAAGAGGTATAAGGATCGTTGTCCAAAAGAAAGAATACGTGGAAAGAAATAAATGGTAGCACCAAGAAAACAGAGTAGTCATAAAGACAAGAAATAATAGCTATAAAGACAAAGTAGCCCTGGCTGGTGTGACTCAGTGGACTGAGTGCTGGCCTGAAAACCAAAAGGTTGCCGGTTCAATTCCCAGTCAGGGCACATGCCTGGGTTGCCGGCCGGGTCCCCAGTTGGGGGTGCACGAGAGGCAACCACGCACTGATGTTTCTCTCCCTCTCTTCCCCTCTAAAAAATAAATAAATAAATAAATAAATAAATAAATAATAATAATAATAATAATAATACTGATTGGCCTAACTTATGTGTTTCAAGGAGAGAAAACATTTCAAAGTAGTTCTTAATCCTGAGGTCAAGTAACTTGAAGAAACAATGAACTTGATTCCTAAAGAATTCTATGACCCAAAAGAGGTTTAGAATCACTGCAACGTAGCTCATTTCCATCTATAAACCTATGAGTACTGTAAGGTCACTATGCAAGTGAACATATGCATAGTAGACTACTGTTTGCAAAAATGATTTTAAGAGTGGTCCCAAAGACATACAGCTTATTAAGACAGTCATGCCTAAGTACAAAAGGTCACGTCAGGTAAGATTCCATTTATATAGAATGTTGAGAATAGATAAATCCACAGAGAAAGAAAGCAGACTGCTGGTTACCAGGGAGGAGGCGGGGTGGGGAACACGGGTATACAGTATCGCTTAACAGGTACAGGATTTCCTTTTGGGGTGATGAAAGCGTTTTGGAACCAGACAGATGTGGTAGTTTTACAACACTGTGAATGCACTAAATGCCAACTGAATTCTTCACTTTCAAATTGGTGAATTTTGTAATGTGAATTTGACCTCAATTAGAAAAATTAGTAATAAATAACACCCTTTTGTTTTTCCTTATAAAAAGAAAAAAGACAATCACATTGTAAGTGTTACCCCAATTGGGGGAGGAAAAAGAAAACAATGGGGCCCTGGCAGGCGCGGCTCAGTTGGGTTGGAGCATCGTCCGTAACTGAAGGGCTGCAGGCAAGTACCTAGGTTGCGGGTTTGATCCCTGGTCCGGGTGCACGTGCTCCCGGTTCAGGCAGGAACGGGAGGCAACCGATCAATGCTTCTCTCACATCAATGTCTGTTTCTCTTCTATCCTCTCTCCCTTCCATCTCTCTAAAAGCAATGAAAAACTTTCCTTGGGTGAGGATTTTCTTTTAAGAAAAACTTTTTAAAGAAAACAATGGGATGAAATGGGACAACACAGAGAAAACGGCTGGGGCGCTTTCATCCGCGCATCTGCGGTCCTCGGGACAGGAATGACGTCAGACTAACGCTTTCATCCGCGCATCTGCGGTCCTCGGGACAGGAATGACGTCAGACTAACGCTTTCATCCGCGCATCTGCGGTCCTCGGGACAGGAATGACGTCAGACTAACGCTTTCATCCGCGCATCTGCGGTCCTCGGGACAGGAATGACGTCGGACTAAGTCACTAAGTGCCTGCCGTGTTTGCTGTTCAGAGGCCCATCTACTGAGACATTCTTTTTGCTAGGATAAACTGAAATAAAAAACTCGCGTTTCTTGTAATCTCCTCGTAGACTTGCAGGTTCACATAGCTATGTCCTCCATATTCTTGCGGCTATACTCAGGGGGATAAACAAAAGAAATACTGAGAAAAAATATATCTATACAGCTAAGCCATAGTTTCCACACATTTATCTTCAGCAGTCACTCGGCATTTCCTTTACAAAACTAAAAGTCAAAGTACGCACCCCATCCAAATAACCAAAATCACTTTCAAATAGCTAACCTTCTCAAAAAAAAAGAAAATATGGAAGAGTCAAGTAATTGCTTTTGTGAATTATATCATAAAAAATTAACTCACAACATGTCTGTCCTTGAACAGTTCTGAGCCAGTAAGTGGGACCAATATCCAGACCCTCCTTAGAACAGCACTGAAACCACAAAGCACACAAATCATAATGGGCCAATGGAATCAGGTGGCTTTGTGACCTCAGTTTCATAATGTTTGCATTACTTATTACATGGCATTCGTGTCAAACTAACATCAGTATTTTCAAGGTCAATACCATGCTTGTTGGACGTCTTGGAGTCACACATTTTTGTGATATTTTTAACATCTGACTAAAGCTTCCATCATCACAAGATGCCAGCACTGTTCACAAACACGGAAGCAGCAGCTGGTGTTCCTCGGTCATGTCTTGTTACAGTAAACAGAGTAGCAGTTTCAAACTCCAGGTATATATTTTACTACTGATGTATTAAAAATCTTGCCTTAACTTAGAGGTTCTTCTCCCTACTGATGGACTCATACACAACGAAACGGAGGCAATTCAGGACAAAACCGTAACAAGATAAACGGACGACACACTCTCACGGCAAATGAACCAAACGCTAAGTGACACTGACCCTGCATCCATCTTTCAAGTCATTTTCAGTACCCCATTCAATAAAACGCGGACACTTACCCACACAAGCGTTGAGGAAGAGCCAATCGGTCTTTTTCATCCTGTTTTTAATTTGTTTTAGTTTTTTAAAGTCCACTTCAAGTTCTTCCTTGCTGCCAACAGCACCAGCCAATTCGATCCTCTGAAAATCCATTTTCATTTCAGAGTCTCGTTTCGTGGTAGGAGGCGATCTTCTTTGGCTATTACCACTGCTGCAGCTTCCCCTCCATCGAGCTCTGTCTTGCTCATTTATTATTGAAGAAGCCTCGTCAGTCTCTGCCAACTCTATTGCTTCAATATTGTTAGGTCTGGGGTGATCACAAACAACACATTTTTTAGCCTTGGCCCAGTTTTCATATGTGCAAATAGAACAAGTCCAATGCTGGGTCCTTGTGTTCAGTTTATTTCTGTCATTGTATTCCTCGCAAGGATCAACAGAAAAAGCAACTGGTCTTGAACCAGATCCTGAGGATTGAGGAGATTCTGTGGGACTCCTGGTCCTACGTTGGGATAAGCACTGGGTACATCTGATTGCTCTTGGCCAGTTCAAATATGTGCACATGTGGCACGACCACTTATTTGCATTTTCCATGCTGTACGAAGACTTAACCCTTGGCCTTGCACTGGAGTCTGGGCATATCAAAGGACTACTTCCTCCTTCAGTGCTAGAAGGATCCCAATCTCGACCAACATCACTTGAACCACTTTTAAATGGATCTTCTGTAATAATAGTTCCACTAGGTCTTTGGGCACGACACATAGTACACTTGATTGCAGATGGCCAGTTTTCATACGTACAATATTCACAAGCCCACTTAATTCCACGTTCTGACATTGTGCACTTCTTGAAGTGAGTTATGTCAAGCAGGAAGCTATAAATAATTAGGATATGGTTATTAATACAAAAACTACATAATTCCACCTCTTAAAATATGCCCCATAAATAAAAGCACATCTCCACTTATAAATTTTTCAAAAGATGCATATAAAAATTTCATATTGAACTATACTTCTCCTTTTTCTCATCGAAACAGAAGGAAAATTTCCGAAGAAAAACCTTAGCGCTCTCAGGATTTAATGGAATTGTATTTCAGGACGCAAGAGATAGGCAGAAGATAAAGAGGTTTGCTTTCCGAGGGAAGGAAGTTAAAATAGGGAAGCTGCTAACAGAAATGTTTCATTTCGGCCAGTTATCACCATCAATTTAGAAAAGGAACCAACAGTTAAAAGACTCAAGGGAAAGTAAAGAACACAAACCAAGTATCTTAAAACGCATAACCATTCTCAAATTATGAAAACAAATGAGTATGCTATCTAGGTATATCATAAGATCAAAGTCAATTCTATCATTCTTGCTAAAGAAGCAAAGCAGCTTAAAAGGGCTAATTATCCACTACTCTTAACAAACACAGGTAAAAAGAAAGGTGTTGAGGAGTAATTCTTACAATTAACAAAGTAACACTGAAACAGAGATAAAACTGCTTGATCATCTATACTTGTGTATCCTCAAAATCTAGCTCTGTTTGAGAACACATATAATAAAAATCACCTATACTTAGGACAGTGAAATCACCAAAATTCCGCTTAGACAGCTACTAGAGTATCACTCCAATGTAATTTCCATTATTCATACTAAAAAATATCCAATATTTGAATTATACTCAAAATTCAATTTATATTAAAAATATATTCACTATTTAAAAGTTTCCTAGAATTCTACACTGGGCTTACTAACACTACACTATAATGAAGACCTCATTATTTATCAACAACTAATTTATAAATGAAGAAGCTGACATGGCAAATTAGTAATGGCTTTTTTTTAATGGCTTGAATTTAGGCACTGACCACTAAACCAGCCTGTATTCTTAACTCCCTTCTCAACTAAATTAATATTGCCTCCACCTATTTTTAACTAGAGAAGTAAAAGAAATCCTAGACAGTGGAAGAAGCTCTCCCTTCTCTTTCTCGGGGATTTTTCCCAAACCTAGGAGCTCAAATCTTTCACTTTTTAAGTGTATTTTGCCCCTGGCTTGCCACGTCCTCACTCCCTTTTCAGTGTGAACGCTGTTAAGGGGGCGTATTCACTCTAAGAAAGGCTACTGTTTAATAGCTAAAATAAAAGTCACTTACTACGATCTTAGTTTCCATGCTATGACCTCCACCTTGCACATGATTAGAATGCCAGTACGGTTTATAAATCAGACCAAAGACAAGATTCAGTCTTCATGCTGGCTCAGATTCTGACTTCCTCAGGAGATCCTGCAAAACGTGATTAAGTGGTTCTGTCTGACTGTGAATAGCTCTATTCCTGTAAAGGAGACCAAAACTGAATTTCACTTGAAGCCTGCTACTTTACCCAAAAATATTCTTTAAAACTTTATTTGAATTAATTCTCTATTTTTATCCTATTCATTCCATTTAATAATGAACCACTATATTTAGAATTTTAATTTAACACAGCAATAAAATCAGCTGATTGGGAAGGTCAAATTAAACAATGGAAAGACATTTTTCTATGAAACCTGAACCAAATGTGCACTAATAAGCACATTAATAGCAACTTGGTAGTGCTAAGTCCATTCCTACCTGCATTGCTTGTCATTACTGAAAGGGGGAAGGTGGTATAAACCAAGTCTCCCCCGCCCCCGCCCCCCCCACACACACACACAGTCCAGAAAAGGTAAAAAGGCTTGCTTGAGTGTGGTTGGTAGGGTACGAGAAAGTGTCACTCTGAGGACAGCAATTTGACCATTTCACCTAAAATGTCATGTGATGTGCTTGAGTGTGATATTGTTATAGTACCGAATTACATGCTTATGATTTTGTAATAAGAGACTTGGTAATAAAAAAGGGGCAGTATTTGTGCTGGACCCTGTATATATTGCATATATATTTAGCTTTGAGGTCTTTTTCTCCCTCAGTAACCCCCCCCCCCATACACACACACACTCACTCTCTCTCTCTCTTTGGGGGATAGGAGCTAATCCCATCTCTGATGCAGCTAATTTACATTTACCTTGCTTAGATTTTTAACTTCAGTTTGTAAATACTGATTACACACAGTGTGACAAGTATGTGAAGGTCAGGGAACTATAATCATATAAGCATCCCTAAAATGGACAATTGAGATTTAATGACAGTTTTCATATTCATTAGGCAGTGTTTTCCTTTAGTTTCTCAAAATAAAATAAATTACTTGCTCACGCTATTGGAATTAAAATGAGCAAATAGAAACTTATGACAAGAATAAAAGGCATAATAAACATATCCAGGGCTACTATAATTAATTGCAGTATTTCATTTCTAACATTCACATTCAAAATTTCATGCATCCCTTGATTACGTGTTACTTTGATATGTGTGTAGGCTCAATTAAACAGCTTACCTTATATTATTACATTATCTTAGCTAATCTTCAAGGAACGAATGTCTGACATAGAAAATGAAGAATCACCGTCACATAGGTCTTGTAAATAGCCTATCCCTTTCAAAAATCCAGGTAACTACACAATACCAAAACCAAAGTCAAGAGTTTTAAGATAAGGGCATCATATTAGGTGATGATGTATCTACTCAATGAGGAATTGAAGCTGTAGGAGTATTATTTTCCAGTAATTGAAAGCTAAAATTCATTGGAGAGGATTATTTGAAAGAGCCATTTATACTGGTGGTTATCAGTAAATGGAATGTAAGAGTAAAGATAACAACAGCTCAGCTAGGTGATTTTGCATTACTGAAATGAAATTAACACTAAGTACACTTTTTCTTCTAGATGTCAAACATCCCTAATAAGACATAAAATCATTTTTAATAGCAACCAGCTGTTAGTATTGCACAACGAAAAAAAAAAAACATTATTAAGTATCTTTTAAGATGTGTTCGTATGCCCAAATATAATAAATTTAATTTATGAGTCTAATATAGCATTAACACAGATCTCCAATTCTATCCAATGAATCATATTTCAACTGAGACAATAAAGCAACAATAAAATCTGCATAATCTGAACCTTATTTAAGGGGAACTAGACACAACTGCTAAAGAAATACATTCCTTGGTTCAAATGCAATCCCGGTAGTTCCCCATCCTGTAAACCAGTCCACGAAGCTGTGCATCAAGCTACCTGCAGACAGACTGAATAACGTCTCCACGTATACCAGCCATTCCACAGGCAAAATTCCTAACTGCTTTTGATTATATATTTTCCAGTTCAAATAAAGATAAAAGAACAAGTACTATGGTATATGGATTAATAGGAGGAAAGGAGGGGCTATAATTGAACATCTTTGTATATTGTCATGCTTAATAATGAATTAATTAGAACATATCTGTGAAGCATTACTGAACATTGTAGAGACAACATATCGCTATATTGAAGTCGGTTACTCAAAATTGTAGCTACACTATGAATTCCCCCAACCACCTAATTAAAACCCTATGAAAAAGAACTGGAGTAGTGAAATAACCCTCAAATACAAACTCTTTACAAACAAGCTAAAAGAAGCTCAGCTGCCAGTTTCAAATGATGAGTTATCCAAAGAAAGGACTAATGGCACTCTTTAAGGTTGTAAATTAGCTTTATTAATATAAGTCTATATTTAGTAATATAAATACTAATATAACTGAAATAAGTATTAACATAAATCTGTGGAGATTAAGAAGTGCTCAAAAAGCATTTTAGGGGAATACAGATGAAGCGAAAACTAAAAGGATATTCCAAACATGTTGAATTTTTAAGCTCTGCTAAAATATTGCAAGGTAATGAATTCTGAATTGTAAACTTTATATAACGTACTACTTAACTCTTAAGCCAAAAATTCCAGTCATTTCCTCTTTTCTCCTCAGCATCTTTCTACATCACTATCTTCCTCCCAACAGTCAGCAGAAAAAATAACTGGTCCTGGGCAAGATCCTGAAGACTGATGATTCAGTGACCCCTCTATCCACAATCTGACCTCATTTCAGGGCTTCAACAGCTTATCGTATCCTACATTAAACCTCTTATCTTCCTCTCACAACAAACTCCTATCCTGACTTCTCCAGTTTCCATTAAGAACACCATTAATATTCCGCACACAGCATCAACTCAAAATTGTCTTGAATTCTGCCTTCTTCCCACAGATTCTCTCCAGTGGTCTCTATCCAATCAGTTCTTTTCTTCCCATTCCAGCTGCTATCAACCCTGTCTCGGGCCAGGTCAGACTCCTACAATAGCCTCCTAAGCGCCTTCCCTTTCTAAATCCATCCAGGGCCTGGTTTTCAGAATAACTGTCCTGCCAACCAGGCATTCTGAAGCTGTTCGGCAACTCCTCCCCATCTCTCACACACACTCACTCCAAAAAGGACACACGTATCCCAGACTGACGCCCACACCACCCGCCCTCGACAAGGCACATGTGAAGGCACCACCTGAGAAAACCAAGGACCACGACACACACTCCTGGTGAACCTATCCATCCTGTGAGGTGAGGCTCAGGTCTCATCTCTCTCATCGTGTTTTTTCGAGTCCCTTCAAGTCCTACCAACCACACTCCTCCTGGGGTTTGGCACTCACTGTATTTTCTCTTGGAGCTCGGTTCCGGACACTGGGTGTTGTCCCCATGTCAGTCACTGCCCTCAGTTTTCAATCAGGAAGCCATGCTTTCAAAAAGGCTGGCTCAGGGATCCTCAAGGCATGGAATGTGAGCCAGCCCCGAGCTCAGGGAGACCCACTGAAGAGACTACGCTGAGCGACCTGAAAAAAGGCAAGTGGAGCTTTGAGCAGTCTCAGACCAACAAAAGACATTCTAAAGGATGGGCTCCACCCCGCGGCAAGACCTCAGCAGGGAGTATCTGCCACGGACCACCAGAAGCCCTGCCGTGGACACGCGTGATGTGGTTAGCTCTGCAAACCCTGTAGAGGGTACAAGTACAAAAGCTTTTATGATATCCTCTGAAAATACTGAATCTATGTGAAATTATGATTATGTACACAAAATCAAGAATGAGCAGATCTTAAAAATGTGCTGACTGTCCTCCTATACAGTGGTCACTGTTATCTGTCACCTGAACTAAACATACTTGCTAAGGCCCCTTTCCCACGATTCTGTGGACAAGTTGGACAAACCAAACTTAGCTGTAACAAAAACCAAAGGTCACCTGTCTTGGTGACCTTGAGATAAAAATATAAAGAATATAAAACTTACATGATGTTAACACTGTATTCTTTTAAAAACTGTCCTTTGAAAACTATTTTTAGAGAGAGAGAGGGAAAAAGAAAGAGAGGGAAACTTCTCAACAAGTTGCCTCTCACACGCCTCCAACTGGGGACCTGGCCCGCAACCCAGGCGTGTGCCCTGACTGGGAATTGAACCAGTGACCTTTCGGTTTGCAGGGCAATGCTCAGTCCATTGAGCCATACCAACCAGGCTAAAAAACTGTCTTTTAAACCACTAGACAATTAGTAATTCATTCATTAAAAGACTAATAAACACAAAATAAATTTAAGTGTGCAAATCTTATAGATAACAATCTAGTCATTTCAAGAGGGATCCTACAGCTTTACATACTACGATTTCATTTGTAACTCTGCCAGCTTCTTTTACTTCAACTCCCTCAACTTCCTCAGTTCCTAGGCAGTAACAACAAAGGAAGAAAGATGTGGATGAGTGTGTGCGTGGTTTGCCAAGAAAGTATCCATCCATGTAATACAAAAAACAGACATTTACTGAAGAAGATACAAGACACAAGAAACACTGTATACAGGGTTATGACGCCTCAGTCATAGTAGGCACCTTGGGACCGCACAGTTCTCCCAGTCACCATCAGCTGCCCTGTCATGTTTTCTCAGCTGCCCCATCACGTTTTCCTGAATCTCATCAACAGTCTGAAATCTCTTCCCTTTCAAAGGTGATTTTAGTTTGGGGAAAAGCCAAAAGCCACAGGACGCCACATCTAGGCTGTAAGGGCGCTGAGTCACCTGGGTGATTTGACGTTTCACCAAAAGACACTGCATGAGATGTGATGCAGTAGTGGGTGCACTGTCGTAATGAGGCTGCCAGTCACTAGTTGCCCATGGCTCCGGCCTTCTGAATCATCCGATTAGCTTCCCCCAAGGGATGTCCAAGCTTAACGCAAAATAGGATGCACAGGGGCTGCTCCACTGGCTCATTATGAATGCGACGGCCACAGTACACATGCTCTCTCAAAGGTGTCTCCCACTCACTCCCATTGACTAATACAGTAAAGTCGTCATTGTCCACACATGCGCATTTCAGTCCACTCTCCTTGGCTGTCAGGTTATATTAATGTGCACACACCGTTCTCATTATACTAATAACGGATAGACTTTTCTCAAATATCTCATATATACACATGTACACATATGTTTGAAACTTTTCATCATGGAAAGTTTTTAAAATCTATCAGGAAGGTGACAAATGTTTTAGACTAAAATTAAGGCTTAGATTTGCTAAGGCTAGAAAAGGAGCAGGAAACAGTATATTGTATAGTATTGTGTTAAGACTGCTATTCATAACGATGAATCTCGTAATAAAACGCTGGGCTTGTGTTTGAGAATCAACTTTAAAACATTTGGAAAACTTAAGAATATAGCTTCTACAAAACATAGGTGCAGTTCTCAAAAGAGGAGGAAATATGTCTAAATACGAACCAAAGTTTCTTTCATCCTAAACTTGCACAGGTGAATCACACTTCAGAAAACTAAAACAGACTTAAACATGGTAAAAATCTGTTGTTCAATGTCTCTCATGAACACAGATGCAAAAATCCTTAACCACATATTAGTAAACCTAACCCAACAATGTACAAAACCACAACCAAGTGGAGTTTATCCCGGATAATGGAAGGCTCATTCAATGTTCAAAAATCAAATTAATTGAAATCCATCGTATCAGTAGGCTACAAAAACAAACAAAAAACCCACACATGGCCACAAGAACACATGCAGAAAAGACATTTGACAAAATTTAACACTCAATCATGATTTTTTTAAAAACTCTCAGCAAACTAGAAATACAAGGGGAACTTCCTCAACTTAATAAAGTCTACCAAAAAAAAAAAAAAACCCCAAAAAACCCTACACCTAACATGATACTTAACGCTGAGAAACTAGAAACCTTCCCTGTAAGACAAGGATGTCCCCTCTCACTAGTCCATTAGTCCTTTTCAACATCAAACTGAAAATTCTAGCTAATACTATAAGACAAGAAAAGGAAATAAAAACAATTCCTAGAGCTAACAGGTGATTACAGGATACGAGATTAATATACAAAAATTAATTACCTTTCTATACACCAGCAATGAAATCTGAAATTAAAAATATATCATTTAATTAGCACCCCAGAACTGAAGTGCTTAGGGCTAACTCTAACAAAATACGAACAAGATGTATTTGAGGAAAACTACAAAACTCTGATGAATGAAATCAAAGAACTAAATAAAGAGATATTCCATGTTCATGGATAGAAAGACAATAATTGTCAAAAATCTCAGTTCTTCCCAACTTGATCGAGAGAGTCAATGCAATCCCAATCAAAATTCCAACAAGTTATTTTATGGGTATCAACAAACTGAATCTAAAGTTTATATGGAGAAGTGTAAGACTCAGAATAACCAACACAATACTGAAGAAAAAAACAAAGAGGACTGGCTACCCTGATATCAAAACATAATATAAAACTACAATAATCATGACTGTGATACTGGTCAGAGAGTACACAAGTAGATCAATGGAACAGAACACAGAGCCCAGAAAGAGACCCTCATATATCGAGTCAACTGATCTTTGAAAGCAGAAAAGGCAAATACGATGGGGAAAAAAGTCTGGGAAAAAATGAACTGGACATCCACATGCCAAAAAAAAAAAACAAAACACTCTAAACACAGACCTCACACCCCTCACAAAAATTAACTGAAAACCAATCACAGGCCTAAAGTAAAATGCAGAGCTATAAAATTCCTAGAAAATAAAATAAAAAGGAAATCTAGATGACAACGTCTTTTAAAATAAACACCAAAGGCACAATCCATGGAAGAAAAAATTGATAAGCTGGATTGATTAAAATTAAAAACTGCTCTGCAAGACACTGCCCACCCTCCCCCCACGGAGCCACGTAGGCCCTTCCCACCGTGGAGCGATGCTGCCGGCGGCCACTCTCTCCTCTGGGGGCCTGCGCCTCGGGCTTCAGGGCGCAGCGCTCTGTTTAGCCAGACAACAGATGCCATGTGTCTGCACCATGCAGCTGATGAGATGCAACAGCTATCGAAGGCGGGGGCCCCTCGCTGATGCACCCTTAGGTAACGCCCCCAAGGAGTACCCCCTCAAGATCCAGCACCTGGTCCAGAACATTGCCAGCCTCACGCTCCTGGAGATCTTGGACCTCAATGAGCTCCTGAAGAAATCCTTGAAAGTCCAGGATGTGGGGCTTATCCTTATGGGTGGCCTGGTCCTGCCCCCACTGCAGCGGCCCCCAAGACAGCAGCAGAATACATCCCGAAACAAGAAGAACAGACACACTTCACCATCCGCCTGAGAGATGCGAGGCCCACGGACAAAGTGAAGCTGATCAAGGAAATAAGAGCTACGATTTCCTCAAGAGCTATATCGCTGCCCCAGGGAATCAAAGCCAACGTCACCAAGGCTGAGGTAAAGAAGATGAGGTGGCCGTGGAGGCAGTGGGTGGCACCCTGGTCCTGGAGTAGGCCAGTGCTAAGGACTTGGGGAGCTGGGTCCCTGGGACCCAGGCGAGGCCCTGTCTGCTCCACCGAGCACCCAGGCTCAGCTGACAGGCACCTCAGAGCAGAACTCCACACCATCACCTCAGGGCCCCAACTGATTCTGGGACAGGCATGGACCTATGGGACGGGAGGAGGCAGCTGCTCCCAGTGAGCACCCAGGTGGACTCTGGAATGTGCCCTGAGTGCCCATGTGGCCCCTGGCGGCCCCTAAGAAAACATGGTTCAGACCATGGCGGGCTGGGGCAGGAGCGACACCGCCCAGAGACTGTCAAGGTAAGCCCGAAAAACAGGAGGAAATGTATGCGAAAGACATACCTGATAAAGCACTGTTACCCAATATACGGGGTTGGCCCAAAAGTTGGCATGGTTTTTTCCATAAAAGACACATTTTTCATCTTCACTCATTAACTTCATTGATTTGGATATTTTATGTCAGCTCTCTCCCACATGACGTAACCTTGACTGTTCTCAATTAATGTCTCGGTGTGATCGCTATCAACTTCAACTGGTCTACCCGACTGTGGAGCATCGTCCAGCGAGGACTCTCCAGCATGAACCTTCGCAGACCTCTTCTGACACACTCGATCTGTCACAGCGCCTTCTCCGTACACTGCACAAATCTTTTTTGTGCTTCAGTTGCATTTTTACCTTTTTTGAAATAAAAAAGCATAACATACCAAAAACGTTGCATATTTTCTTCCATCTTCAATATTAAATGGATACACAAAAATTCACCAACTTTGATATAATTTTTTTAAACGCACACTGATATGACAGCTGTCACAATACAATCTAACAAAATTGTTTTGAATGAAGTTAGAGACAACTAAGCACTAGTACAGCCACCTTACAGAAAAAACCAAACAGACTTTTTGGCCACCTCAATATACAAAGAACTCTTGAAACTCAACAGTAAGAAAACAAACACACCCTGGGCTGGTGTGGCTCAGTGGACTCAGCCACAGCCTACAAACTGAAAGGTCACTGGTCCAATTCCAAGTCAGGTCCCTAGTTGGGTGTGTGCAAGAGGCAACCAGTCAATGTTTCTCTTCCTCTCTTTCTCCCTCCCATGTCTAAAAAATGAAATAAAATCTTTAAAAAAAAGAGAGAGAGAGAAACACAAACAATCCAATTAAAACATGGGCCAAAGACCTGACCAGACACTTCACAAAAAAAAAAAGATATACAGATGGCAAACAAGCATATGAAAAAACGCTCAATAGTAGGGAACTGTAAATTAAAACATCAGTGAGATATCACTACACACCTACTAAAATAACCAAAATCCCAAATACTGACACCACCAATGCTGATGAGGATGCTGCTGGCGGGAATGCAAATGACACAGCCACTTAGGAAGAGAGTTTGGCAGTTTCTTATAAAACTAAACATGCTCTTACCATAAGATCCAGCAATTGTGCACCTTGGTATTTACCCAAAGGAGCTGAAAAATTATGTCCACAAAGAAGCCTGCACACAGATTTTTACAGCAGCTTTATCCGTAACTGGCAACATTTGAAAGCAACCAAGATGTCCTTCAGTAGGTGAATGGATAAATTGTAGTACATTGAGACAATTAAGTACCATTCATTAAGGAAATGAGCTATCAAGCCATGAAAAAACACAGAAGAACCTTAAATGCAGTATTATTACACAAAAGAAACCAACCTGAAATGGTTATATACAGTATGATTCCAACTATATGACATTCCAGAAAACGCAAAACTATGGAGACAATAAAAAGATCAGCTGACGTCAGGGTTGACGGCAGGAAAGGATCAACTGGCAGAGCACAGAGGCTTTTTTAAGGCAATGAAGCTATTCTATACGGCACTGTAGTGCTGGTTACCTGTCACTATACATTTATCAAAACCCATACAATGTACAACACGAGGGAACCTTAATGTAAACTAGACTCTGGTTGATAAAGGCATACCATGGCAGGGTCACCCATTCTTTTTTGGGATGTTGATAGTGGAAGAGTTTATGCAAATTAGGGGGCAGGGGATATGAGAACTCTGCTTTCTGCTCAATTTTGCTATGAACCTATGCTCTACCAAAAAAAAAAGTCTATTTTTTAAAATCTTCTCAACAGTTTTTAAATCACTAATATACAGAAAACATTTTCTTAAAAAAATCAGTTCTCAGAGAATGGTGGGGAGTTTTAAAAAGGACAGAGGAACTCTTAACGTGAACCTAAAATGCTCTAAAAAATACCCAACTTGCCCTGACTGGTGTAGCTCAGTTGGACGTCATTCTGCGAAGCGAAAGGCCACCAGTTCAATATCCAGTCAAGAGCACATGCCTCGAATGAGGGCTCAGTCCCCAGTTGGGACCTGTACAAGATTGATGTTTCTCCCTCACATCAATATTTCTCTCCCTCTTTCCCCCTTCCCCCTCCCTAACAATAAAATCTTTAAAAAAAAAAACTACCCAGTTTACAATATATTCACACCTAACAATCTTAGATTAAGAAGAAAAAGGACATAGAAATTAGGGTGAAGCGTTCCCAGCTGGCCAAATCTGAATCAACTTGAACTTTTACATAAAAAATAACAGTATAAAAACCCATGTCTACATAGATACAAATAAATACACAAATAAATAGGATGAGAAAGCGCCTCCTTAGAGTGGAATCCAACCAATAAATGGGAAACAAAAAATAACTGGGTTAGAAAATCACCCTCAGCAGTCTTCACAACAGATTCAGGAAATCATCATTGACGAGAGTTAAAGCGGGTGGGCAAAGCTTGAGAATTAACAGGATATTTCAATAGTCTCCAAGTGTCCCTCAACAATAACTGGTACGGTACAAAGCCCAGTGGACACCTCGACCAAAGTTACCCACGCCAGTAACCAGCCACACCACCTGTCTCTCTATGTGTTGTACTAAGAATACAATATCGCTTCCGTGGTCTTCTTGCCAAAAAAGTGCATATTCTACCTCTAATCATGAGAAAACATCAGACATACTACACTGAGACTTTCTACAAATTAGTACTATATTCTTCAAAAAATCGGTATCATGAAAAACAAAAAAATACTGTACTGTTCCAATTAAAGGAGATTATTAAAAACACAGTAACTGACTGCAACGCATGATGAGATTTTCTTTTGTCTTCATAAAAAACATTAATGGGCCTAGGCTGGTGTGGCTCAGTGGACTGGGTGCCAGCCTTGCAAACTGAAAGGTCGCATATTCTATTCCAGTCAGGGCACCTGCCTGGGTTGCGGGGTGTGTGAGGGGTAACCAATTGATGTATCTCTCACACACTGATGTTTCTCTCCCTCTCTCTCTTCCCCTCACTCTAAAATATAAATAAATACAATCTTTTTAAAAATAAAAAAATTATTAATGAGACAACTGACAAAATTTGAATAAGATGTGCAGAAACTGATTAAAAATTACATAACAGTATTAGACAATGGTAATTTCCTTATTTTGATCATTGTGCTGTGGTTATGTAAGAGAAAGTCCTTGTTTATGAAATACACACTGAAATATTTAGGGATAAAGGGGTATCAGGTCCACAAACAACTTTCAAACAGTTCTAGGGAAAAATACATCCACATCACACAATAAACCTTACAACTGACAGAAATACTTTCACAGCCTTCCAAAGAAGCCAGGTGAGTCCTCACAAATATGTAGCAAATCCCCACACAAGGACTTGAAATCCTCTAATGGCTTCCCAATCCACTCGGAATAAATTTAAAATTCCCCAGTCTTTCTTGCAAATCTTTATACAAAAGTGGGGTTTGTTCTGTTCCTTGCACAGCAAGCTCATCCTCACCTTAAGAGTTTTGTCTCCTCTGCCGAGAGTGCTCTTTCCACAGATTTCAACGTGGCCACCGTCACAGAGACCTAGGTTCAAAGAGCACCTCCGCAGATCTTTCCTGGCCATCCGAGCCCTCCCCCACCACGCCGCCCCCCTTCACCGCTGGCACGCCCACCGCTGCCTGGCTTGCTTTCTCTTACTTGCTCATTGACATCTCTCCACACTAGAATGTAAGTACAAGTGACAGACCATCCTGTTCACAGAGTTACCTCAACATCTAGTACAGTTACTTTCTCAAATGCCAAACACTCATTACTAAATGTTTCAATTTCAGTAGCTCTTTTCTTTTTTTAAAGATTATTTGTTTTTAGAGAGAGGGGAGGGAGGGAAGGAGAGAGGGAGAGAAACATTGATGTGCAAGACATTCGGATGCATCTTGCACACCCCGAACTGGGGACCTGGGCTGCAACCTAGGGGTGTGCCCTGTCTGGGAATCGAACTGGCGATCTTTCAGTTCGCAGGCCGGCACTCAATCCACTGAGCCACACCAGGCAGGGCATGATTTCAGTAACTTTTGTGACTGCGTTTTTCATAATCTACTTGTTGAAAATCCTAACCAATCTCAGATCACACAGTAGGTACCAAGTAATTATTAATTTGCTGAATGACTTTCTATTAAAACAATGCCCCCTCAGATTTCAACTCAATACAAAAATATATCCCCCCCCCACACACACACACGTGTTGGGGGGACTTTTCTCTCTTCCCATCTGCAAAGACGAGCCACCCACACTGAAGAGGCTCATCCCTTCCTCATTTCCAGCCCCCCGACTTTCTGCACAGGCTGCTCCTCTTTTTCTCAGCATCTGCTGGTGTGGATTTCAGTTTACCTTTTATGTCTTTATTCTGCTTCTCTGTTAGATTTTTTAAGACCTCTGAGAAATGGGTATGAACCCTAAACCTTGTATCTATAGAAACCATCTATCACTTATTCTACAATGAAGATATGCATATCTAGTTTGCCAAAAAATTTTGGTTACAGAGAATATGCAGTTTCTGGGATTTTGATAATTTATGAGACAAAATATTTGAAATTATGGCTGTCTCTAAAAAAGTTTTTTGGGCCTGTATTTTTATATCTCATACTATATACAAAACAACTCAGAATTATTATAAACCTGAATATAAGAGCTAAAATTCTTTGACGAAAACACAGATGTGCATCTTCCTGACCATGGATTAGACAATGATTTCTTAAAGATGGCACCAAAAGCATAAATGACAAAAGAAAACAAACACAAATAAATTGGACTATATCAACATTTAAACCTTTTGTGCTTCAAAAGCCACCTCAAGAAAGTGAAAATAGAACTCACAAAACAAGAGAAAATATTTGCAAAACATTTACCTGACTTGTATCCAGAATATATAAAGAACTTGCACAACTCAACAACAAAGACAAATAACCCAAATGAAAAATGGACAAAGGATCAGTATGGACATTTCTCTAAAGAAGACATAAAAATGGCCAAAAAAAAAAAAAGATGTTCGATACCATGAAGAAAAGGCAAATAAAACCTAGGAGACACAACTTCACAGCACAGCGATACCACTGAAGACTGACAATGGCAAGTGCTGACTAGAGGGTGCAAAGAAATGGAACCCTCATTCATCGCTAGTAGAAATGTGAATGCAGCAACCACTCTGGAAAACAGGCTGGCGGTTCCAAAGGTTAAACACAGAGTAACCGTGTGACCCGGAAATTCCACTCCTAGGTGTCTATCCAAGAGAAGTGAAAACTTATGTCTACACAAAAACTTGTACACAAATTTCATAAGAGAAAAACCGGAAACCACCTAAATATTCACCCATCAATCAATCAATCAACACAATGGAATATTAACCTATAGAAGAAAGTAGATTCGTGGTTGCCAGGAACTCAGGCAAAGGAAGAAATGACTGCCAATGAGTATAGAGTCTCTTTTTAGGGTGACGAAAATGTCCTGGATAGCGGTGCTGGTCACACAAGTGTACACTTGAAAAGATGAATTTCATGGTAATGAATTAAACCTCAACGGAGCTGTTATTTTTAAAAATAAGAAAAAATGGAAAAGATGCTGTAGGGGTCCAAAATGTGTCACCGCAAGATGTGCCTCAGTGCATATTCCTGTGGCTAAAAGCAATTTTAGCTTCAGGCTCAGCCTCTGTCCCAACCCTTAAGTACCTAGAAACTTTTGAATTAGAAGCCTTGTCCGTAAAAAATTATCAGCAATAACTTCTTCTAACCGATCCACAGGTAAAGGCAAACTTCTATTTGTCAAAGGTCTACTCTTCTCATCCTGCAACAACGGTTTGAATCCCCCAGGCACCCAACCTCAACCTGAGCTCAGGACGTCTTGTACTGTACCCCAACCCCCCTTTCTATCTCTGAACCTCTCATGCATGTGGGGTCTCTAACTTTCTCATGTATGTGGGGTTCCCATGCGCACGAAATTAAATTTTATTTTCTCCTGTCAACCTACCTCCTATTGATTTCATTATTCGGCCAGCCAAAAGAAACAGAGAGGGGAAAGAGGAATTTTTCCCTTCCCCACAATACACAAATGATTTCCAATAATGCCTTATCTATCCAAATTATTTTTACTTATGTGAATTCAATCCACATAAAAATTTGACTTACTAACGGGTGGGGGGAAAAAACAAAATTGTGTTGTGTTGGTAGAGGAGGGGGTGGGACAGTTTGTCCTCAATAACATGAACTATAAAAAATACAGAATATTAGTTTTTTTATTACTAAAAAGTTCAAGTTCACTAAACAGCTGAAAAATTATCAACTTTCTATTCAATTTATCAGACCAGCCTTCATTTTAAAATTCAAACTGATGGCTCTTGTCAAAAATTTCATCATGTCCCGGCTGGTGTGGCTCAGTAGGTTGACTGCCATTCTGTGAATCAAAGAGTCGCCAGTTCAAGTCCCAGTCAGGGCACATGCCTGGGTTGCAGACCAGGTCCCCAGTTGGGGGCGCACAAGAGGCAACCACACATTGATGTTTCTTTCCGTCTTTCTCCCTCCCTTCCCCGTCTAAAAAAATAAAATAAACTATCTTTAAAAAAAATTTTCATCTTAACCAAAATACTGCCCTCCCAAAAACCAAAGAATGTTAACATCCAAATTTCTCAAGTGATGAATTTACTGGTCTAATTCTATGAAAGTACCTTTAACAAATACAAGTAGACTATGTTAAAATGTCTAGCATTTCTGGAAAGTTTATTAACTGACTAACCTTAGCTTCAATTATGCTGAAAAGGTTTCTGAAGCTTAAATAAAGTTACGTAAAGTACTTCCTAAAAATCAGTCAATTTCAAGGGAAAAAAATATTTTGATGAACTGGAGGAAGAGGACAGTTTCCACATACATGCAATCAAGAAGGTTTACTGCTAAGAGACTATATATCCATAAAATGCCAAGCCTTTTACTCACAAGCAACACAACAGAAACACACACCCCTATTTTCCAACTACATCAGCATCCACCCTGTGGACTCCATAATTACATATATTGTCCATGATGTACCAGGACACTATGGACCAGCGTGTTTGTGTTTTCTCCCAACAGTGTTGACAGGTAGCAGTGAATCACGTTCTCCAGAGCCTCATCTGCCTCGTGATCAATGACACATGCTGCCAACATCTGAGGTTAAGTAGGCAAACTGAGACTACATATCATTTCCCCCTTCCCATGATGCTAAACGTCACCCATACACTACAAATACAGCATGACCACCCTGAGTGCCACTGGTGCCAAACTCAAAAGGAAGGAATAGCCCCAAACTCTAACCGAACTTGCCCCAGACTCAAACCTCAACTATGGGGCTGCAATACTTGTTTTTTATTTGAAGGATAAAACATCATCACTATCAAAACGTCAAACATCCTCTATAGAAAGCAAACTGTGCTAATAATAGATATAAACACAATGACCCAAAAAGTCTTTTTACAGACAGCCATAACTTTAAATATGTTGTCTCATAAATCATCAAAGTCCCAGAAACTCCCATACTTAGAAGAGTACAAACTGCATATCCTACAATACCTCCATAACCAAAAATACTTAGTCAAACTAGGAATGCATATCATCAGGGCTGAATATGGCCTTTCCAGACACAGGGTTTAGGGTTCATACCCATTCCTCAGAGATCTTAAAAATCTAGCAGGGAAGCAGAATAAAGACTTAAAAAAGATAAATTGAAATCCAAGCTGGCATATGCTAAGGGGGAAAAAAAAGATGACAGAGTCCTACACAAGAAGGGAGTGAATGGATCCCTTGGGGTGAAGTCATCAAAGCGGCTTCTCAGAAGACAGGGATCAACTGGGCCCAGAGTAAAGCACACCCATGAATGCAAGCGGATGAGAGTTTAAAACAGAAAGGAGGGCAGAAAGAAAGGCCCACTGGTGGCAGTTCACAGTAACAAATTCATCTGGCTGGAACTAAGGAATCACAAAGGTCAGAAATAAGAGTTAAATCTGAAGAATGGATCAGGGCCAGATTATCGGGAAACTTGACCACCACACCAAGAAATTTAAACTTTATTCTGCATGTTATAAGGAGTGTTCTGAGAGTTTTTATCTTGTGATGTGACCAAGTGAGAATGTTAAGATGTGCAAGATCTTGTTTGTCTAAAGAATAAGCAGAGACCAAACATTCCAAATGAAACAACACATCTCTGGGGAAAATGTGTTTAAAGCCCAGGTACAAGAGGTAATTACTGGGTGAAGAGGGACATGAACAGTAATCCTCAAAAAATAAGTGGATCAAGTTAAACAATGCGGTCTACTTTTGCAACTCCCACTAATTCAAAATTTCCATTTATTATAAAGCAGGGTAAGTATAAAGCATGATAAACAGCTCTCACTATATCAATTACACATGAGGCAATTCACCTCAAATGCACTAGTTCGTGAGTTCCAAAACCAGGCTGACCCTGACTTTATATGTGCTATGCCATAACCCTGATCAGAGTGCAGAGCTGGGCCAAGGCCATACGCTTAAAATCTACTACAGTGAATGAGTTCATCATATTAACCCAAACACACTTCAAGAGTAAATAAATGGGTGTCTCGATGCTCAGTGACAAGTAATAGCCTCTCCAAAAGACTATAATGTCATTACTGTCTTCTTAGTCCCCTAATACGCCAATAAAAAAATGTCATAAAATATCAGTATAAGGAGGTGTCCTCTCATAGGACATAAAAACCAAAGAGAAATAAGGTTCTACATTTCTTTAAAAGTACCTCTTTCAATCAGTAACAAGAACAAGGAGAAGAGATCCAGCTTTATTTTTCAAACACAGTTTAGGTGACTTTCCGAAGGCCTATGGCAGAAGCCAAGATCAAAATTCCTTATGGGTTCCCCTGGCTTATGGCTGGCACACTGAGTCACCCATGTTTGCTCCAAAGAGGGGTACCCTTAAAGGTCATCCAAGTGAAAAAGAAGCAACTTAAAAAGGACCACTAATAGAAAGACCATTCATTATACAACACATCTAGGAGCTCCAGATTTCTCTTCGACTGTGTTTCTACATTTTTGTACATTAAATCCACCGACACCATCGTAAATCATACAGACCAACACAGTGGGTGGAGGGGACAGCGTTTACCCTGATCGTCTACGAACTTAAAGAAAAAGGAAACCAAATGACTGAAATTCAAAATTCTCAGCAGGAGAGTTTCAAAACACCCGTGCATCTCAAAGATAATGGGCCAGCTCAAACTTCCAGGCTGAACCTAAACTGCCTGTCCCTTGCGCCTAATCCAAGTATTCATTACAGTCCTTTTGTCTGTGAAATACCCACACCAAGCTATCCCGAAGAAAATAACAAATCCTTGCAGAAGCAATCGTTATTGGGAGCGAGAAGGGTAGACAATCCTTCCACTGGTGCCAGGTCCTCCGCCCCGCCCCCGTCGCCCCCTTTATTTTAAGACAGAAATGGCAGCCACTGAGGCTACCGCGGGAGGGGCAGACAGGAGGAGGCCAGGAGACAGAAACACAAGTTCGGAGACCAGCACCAACTCGTGACGACGGACCAAGTATTTTAGGGCCTACCGCAGAGTGGGAGCGAAACCCCCTCACATCCCCCCACCCCCCGGAGGTGGCAGGAAGAGATGCTGGGGGAAGGGGAGAATCTGGCGGAAGAGAGGTGGCAGGGCGGGCGGCGCGTCCAGCCGCGGCTGATCGACAGTCGGTAAACAAGCCGGGCGGACCCACCTCCCACGGGCCGGGCCTGTCCCGCACCGGGAAAGCCCAAAATGGAAGCGCGGCGGTGGCAGGCCAACCCCGTTTCCCGCGCTGCCCCGCGCCTCCCCGCGCCTGCCGTACAGGGGTAGACCCGGCAGCCTGGCCGTCCGGGGCCGAGCAGGCCGCGGCGGGGCTGCGGGGGGCCTGCGGTGGGCCGCCCTCCCGAGGCCCGCTTACCTGGCGGCGGCGGCTCCTCCTCCAGCTCCTGCTTCTCCTCCACGTCCAGTCCTCGGCGCCCGGCGGCGGCGGCGGCGGCGGCGGCGACTACCGAGCAGCCCGCGGCGACGAGCCGAGCCCGGCCCCTCTCCGCCTCCCCCCCGCGCCGCCTCCGCCCTCTCCTCTCAGTCAGGACATGGTCTCCGCGGGCCCGCGCGCGGCTCCCGGCTGTCGCGGGCGGGGGCAGAGGGGCGGGGAGCGGGCGCGGAGGCGGGGGGGCGCCGGGGGGTGGGGGGGAAAGAGCAGGGGGGACGACCTCGGGAGCTGCGGGATCGCAATGGCGGCGGTGAGCGGCCCCGGAGCCAAATCAACCCCACGGCAGGCAGCGCGACGTCAAGGCGGGACCCCGCCGCACGCCGCACTATCATTGGCCCCGAGGCTGTGGCGGCGCAGCCAATGGGCGGCCACTTCTTTCCTGGCGCGGGACGCGGGCCGTGGAGCGGTGACGTCACTCCGGCGCCCGGCCCTGATTGTGAGGCGGCGGGCGAGCGGGGGCTGCGGCCCTGGGGGCGTGCGGGGGACGCCGGGAGGACGCGGGCTGGAACACACGCAGACTGCGCGGCCGGGGGCCCGGGGGGACGCGAGGGGGGCGAGCTCTTGGGCGCTGTGCGACTCCCTCTTCCCCTTCTCTGCAACAGACTCACTTGAGTGAGATGTCAGCCCTCGAGTCTCACGTCTCCCAAATGACTACTTATTTGCAGAGTCGGCTTCATTTTTCTCAGTTTGAAACACCAGGAAGATGCATGTTTATTAGGTTGTTTGTCATAGGCTAATTTTTATGTATTTTTACAATGTCTTTTTTTTAAACCTTTGAGACGGCGCCTGTGTGAATATTTCTAATCTGTAATACATGTATACATATATGTATATGCATGATGAAAAGCCGTGGAGTTTTATGCCAATTGTATCTCAATAAAACGAAGTATTTTTTTTTTAATAAAAGCTCTCTTCTACTATTTCCTAACTTAGAGATGGTTACCGTTCTCTAAATTGTAAATTTAAAGCAGAGAATAAATTACAGCCATGGAAAAAATATTGCCAGGAGAATTCCCAGAGCCCAAGTTCTAAAGAAAATGTTCTCTGGTGATGTATTTTTTATATTTTATTTTTGTAAATATCACCAGTCGGGCATTTGGCCGTTTGCTAAAACCCCGTATGTCAAATTTGTCCAGCTGGAGAACTTGTGTTTTCCCAGTGGAACGTCCCCTTGCATTTTTCATACTTCAGATTTATTTCATGAACCAATCCAGGCTGGTGCGGCTCAGGACTCAGTGCTGGCCTGTGATCCCAAGGGTTACCGGTTCAAGTCCCGGTGAGGACATGGGCCTGCTGTGCAGGCCACGCCCCCAGTAGGGGGCACTCAAGAGGCAACCGCACTGATGTTTCCTCTTTCTCCCCGCCTTCCCTTGTGTCTAAAAATAAATTTAAAAAATACATTTTGAAGGACCATAAAACAGCAACTTTTGAAAAGTGGTAAAGCTTTTTAAAAGTCATACGTTGAAGAACCATAGCACCGTCAAAGGGCATTTCGTAGTTGTATTGGACACCTCAACTTCAATAGGAAGACTGTCTTACTCAGTTTAATTAGATTTTTTAAAGCCTGGACGGAGACTTCATTCAGTAAAACAACTCATAGTATTATTCTGAGTCTCTTTGCATAACTATGGCACGGTGTGCATACAGCTTCCCCATGGGCCCTGAAGAATAAAATAGTACCTTATATAGCTTCCCCTCACCAACCACCTCTTTCACAATCGCTGGTATATTTTATCCTCACAGCCATTCCTGGGATAGAAATTTCCAGCAATCCCCATCTTCCCAGAGCAGCATTATTTGCTCAGGGACTCCTCAATAAATCGAGTTTAAATGGCAACAGTCATTCGCCTTTAAAATTCAGCACACGTTCTCAAACACGTATTTAACACAACTGTAGATGAAACACCACATTATTATGTAAGAACAGTGGTTCAACCAACACGGGAAAATATTTTAAAAGCTGCTGCGTACCTCAGCTTCCCCTTCCTGAACCTCAGCTGCAAAGCTGCTCACCCACAAGTTAACAAGAACCCAGAGTTAGGCGTTTGTGTTTGGTTTGAGTTGTAGCTGATTTTGTTAAGGGAAGAGGGGCTTGTCTGGGGAAGACTTATTATTAACTGTTCACTCCATGTAATGAACCTAACGTCAGAACCACCAACCGAGGAACAAGAAGCGCACAACGATGAATGAGACTTTCTGTGTCTGAGGAACCCACAGCACAGGACAGATGGAGAGGCAACAGCCACTGCTATTATAATATGAGGTGGAAGGTGCTAAGTACATTCAAATGAAAATTATCTTGTCCCTGGGAGAAGGAGCCAATCCCAAAATGACGTTGTTAAAGCTGAAAAGGCATTCGATGCCAGTCCGGTGGTTCTCGGCCCTGGCTCCACGTTAGAATTATCAGAGGAGCTCTTGGAAGACTCCGCTGTCTGGGCCCACCCCAGACCGACCAGAGCACTCCCAGGAGGAGAGTGTGGACCTGGCGCTGTTGACGCACTCTCCCCAGGTGACTGACTACAGTGTGCAGCCAGCCACCGGCAGAGTCCCGCCCCCACAGTCTGCAGATGTGGAAACAAACGCCGGGAGGTTCTAAGTGGCTTAGCAAAAGCCAGACCATCTCGGCCTGGAATTAGCAAATAAAGCTCTTGATTTCCTCATCAAATCCTCTTTCCGTTGCACTATGCTTGAGAAAAACATATGTCCTCAAATGCGGCAGATAGCATTGTCACTGTTAAGGAGCTGATTCATGCTCTTTGGCACAGAGATTAAATTATTCTCCTTATGTTTATTTCTGAGAAAAATTTCTGAGTTCTGAGATATATTTCATGGGGGAAAACGGTATCCACTTTTTTTTTTAAAGTTCTTTTTTCTTAGAACCCTTGGACTGAATTGTAGGGACAGCGTAGTTTTGTTGACAGTTAGTTTCGTTCGGCTTTTATTGCAGGTGTTTCCCAAACTACCTGTAGAAGACATAATTCCAGCTTCCTTTTTCTGCCTCTTGAACGGCAAATTATGGGTCTGTATACTTCAGTCCACTACCAGTAGAGAGCTATGGAAAGGTTTTGAGCTGGCAAGTGCCGGAGGTATCACTTAACCTGGAAGGTCTGTGGGGCAAATTAGGGTAGAATTAGAAACAGGGACAGAGAAACCAATTAAAGAGACAAGAACCTAAAACCAAAGTAGCTGGGGGAATGGGACAGAGAGGAGTGAAACAGGGTGAGCGGGATGCTCAGTTTGCCAGTGTTGGAATCTGGGGTGGAAGACAGACTCAGAAGCCAGAGAGTTCTGAATGCTGGTGGTGTGATTAACAACAGGGCCCCCAGAAGAGGAACTAGGTAAGAGGAGATGGTGCCTATCGATCAGGCGCGCGGATATCCTGGGCTTCGGAGGCCACATGCAGCCAGCCCGGGAAATGCTGGTCTGAGATCTGATCGCCCAGAGCTGGGGAGAAACCTGAGGGAGTTAGTTCTCTCTGTTGAAGCTACTATTTGAAGCCACAGGAGAGGGAAAGAAAAAGAAAAACTACGTAAGGAGGAGAAAAAGATTGGTCAAAAAGACAGCAGATGAAAAGGGTGTTCTGGAAGCCCGGCAGCGGGGGGGGGGGGGGGGGTGACGCTGAGCCTCAAGGACATGGTAATAAACAATGTCAGAGTCTCCAGCCTCAGGAATTAGAATAGAGAAAAGGTCGCTGCATTTGACAAACAAGAGGCTTCATGACCTTCTAGAGAAGAGTTTTCAGTAGGATGGTGGGGAGAGAAGCCAGGTTCTGAAAGCTGAAGGGACACCTGGGCACTGAGGCAGGGATGATAGACCCCTAGTCCAAGACGTCTGGCAAGGACCGGAAGGCAGGGGACGAAAGAGTACACACAGGGAGGAACAGGAGGGAGGGGAAATCTTTCCTTTTTAAATGGCATAACAATCGCTTTTGTGAACAAAGCAGAGAAGGTGGAGAGGAAAAGAAAATGATGGAAATCCAGGAGGAAGGTCGCCCAGAGCACGGTGATTTTTCTCAGAAATCGGAGCAAAGGAAGCCGTGGGAAACAGAGCTGCAGAGTCTGAGGGCAAAGGCAGGTGTTGGAAGGGACTTCCCGCCCCTCCCCTTCCTGGGCGTCAAGCACAGGCTGCCTGCTGAGGGCTGCGAGGGAGGCTGGAAGAGAGCAGACAGGCTTTGGGACAAGGGTTGTGGGGAAGCAAACGGAGAGAAGTGAACAAGCAGCCACTTTATGCAGCAAAGCTTGGAAGCTCAGAGTCGGGCCTAGAACAGGGAGGCCACACAGCAGAGGGACCTAGAGGGGCACATTTGCCAAGGAAGGAAAGTTAAAGGCTCTCTGCTGAAGAAAATGACAACAGGTTCAGCTTACTTAGGGTCTGCTGGGGAACGTGTGCTGTTTTTGAAGCACGTTTTAGAAAATTTGTGGGCTTCCTGCAAAATTACAAGAACAAATTCTCAGCCATATTGCAGGAAACGTCAGGTGTATGAATGTCACAATATCTTCCCCTTATTGTGTATGACCAACAGATTTCCTTAGTGGAAAAAGCTGTTTATAGTAGAAAATGCAATATAAGGGTGCTGCCTCAAGCCCTGGCTGGCGCGGCTCAGTGGGCTGTGCACTGGCCTGAGAACCGAAAGGTCTCCCATGCAGTTCCCAGTCAGGGCGCGTGCCTGGGTTGCCAGCCAGGTCCCCCGTAGGGGGCATGTGAGAGGCAGCCAATCAACGTGTCTCTCACATCGATGTTTCTCTCCCTCTCTCTCCCTCCCTTCCCCTCTCTCCAAAAATAAATAAACAAAACCTTTTAAAAATAAAATTAAGTACAATTTAATAATAAGAATAAGGATGAGGATAAGGGTAAGGGTGAGGATAATGCTGCCTCATGCAATAAATGGCACTGTTTCAGGGAACACAGGCTGTGCAGAAGCAGTGCATAGAGAAATGAAAAAGAGGACAGGATCTAACTTAATTCCCCATTGGAGTTTCTCATCTGAATGTTTAAAAAACTAGAATGAGAACATTTAAAAGTTTCTGAAGTTCCCAGGAGTTAGGCATGATTTATTTTCCTGTGATTTATAGACTTCAGAAGCTTTAAAAGAAAATAAGATTGGCAACTGTGGCAGAAATTGCTAGAAATGCTTCCCAATATCTTTTCTTTCTCTCCCAAGCAACAGATTATTGGTTTGTAACAATTGTTTTTGCTCTACTAAATGCCTTTACTGTA